GGTCCGCAATCGTCCTTCGCCCCCTTCCGTCGACGTCTTACTGCAATTCCTCTCCTCTTAATAAATAAAAGGCGCGACAAACAATGCGTTTCTCGGGCATTGTGCGTTGGCATAGACAATAGACTTTCCTGGCTTATCCAGCGCAACAAAAACATCGAACAGCTATCGCAAATTGCCCGTGAAAAATGAGCTTAACAAAAGTTTGATACGGGCAAAAAACGACGGTGTTATTTATGTGTTTAAAGTAGCGCTTTGTGTTCGCGCCATGTGGCGGCTGAACGCATTAACCGAACCGATTCATGCCCGATCCGGTTTAACGCGATAATGACCCCCGCATTAATCAAATCGCACTCAAACGACTTCTAGCTGCGAAATAATTACGAAACAAGATTCGTATCGGGACCTGGTTCACTCACTTTACGGTAGCCGCTAACGCTACTATTGTGCCGGCCAACCCCTTTAATAATCGGTCATAAGGTTCATAAAAATTAACGAAAAAGTAACATTACAAATCTGTTTAACACGAACAAAATATCAAATATACAGCTGCAGATAAAATACATAAGAAAAATAGCCGCGAAAACAAAAATGGGGGAGTTCAAACAGGAAGAAATAATGAAAACGAGAAGAAACTGTAGTCCGTTTACTGAACAGATGGAGTGATCACGTGCCTACAAAATGAGCGTCTAAGCTGACTGTAAACATCAATATCGAACGTATAAAGACATTTTTTATTTTCTCAATTTTTCGATTCACGATTTTCCGAATTTTCAACTTAAAGTTATGTTATCTTAGATTACAAAAAAACAGTACATCAAATGGAGAGTAAAAATGACAAAAAAAAAACAATTAAAATACGACTAAAATAAAACACGAAAAACAACAAGAAACTGATCGATTTTTTAGTTTGTCGTTTTTAATTTTTCAATTTTTTGATCTTTTAAGTTTTGAATTTTTAAATTTTTCGATCTGCAATATTTCGAGTGTTCTAATAAACCAAAAATTATAAAATTGAAGAAACATCGAAAATACAATGGAAATGAAAAAACGAAAAATTATGATATAAAATTAGAAAATAAAAAATAAAAATCAAGTACTTGAAAAATTGAGGAAACGAAAATTGAAAAATCAAAAAAATAAAAATTGAGAAACTGAAAAATCGAAAAATTATGATATCAAAAAATTGGTGGTGGGTATAAATCCAGATTTTTCAAAAAATTAAAAGGTTTGATTTTGCGAATTTTATTCTGGATGATAACCCTTGTAAATAAAAATAAAAATAATGTTAAAGTAAATGTAGTTTTGTAGTTTCAAATTTTGATTTTTTTTTTCAAAATCTGGATGTCTATGTTGAAAAGTCGACGCGGATTCATACACCACATGTTTTTAATTCCTTGTAAGGAAATAAGTATTTTGCAGTTAAGCTCTGCCCCCTTGGTTCACGGCGAATAAAAAAAATCATCAGAATTGAGATCGGGTGGGTGGGCGGGGCTTATATTTTGCCTTTTTTTTTCTTAATATATGTAGTTTCCTTTTCACAACAAACTTAGGGAAATATAGATTTTGCAATTACGCTCCGCCCCTCGGTCTGACAACGAATGAAAAATTCATCACCATTGAAATCTTTTTTGGCTTCTTTTTTGGTTTTCTTTGTATACCACGATAACTTAAGAACAAATTTCACATAGTAATTTCTCGTACAAAAATATGGATTTTACAATTAAGCTCCGCCTTACGACTAATAAAAAAAATCATCAGAATTGAGATCGGGTGGGTGGGCGGGGCTTATATTTTGCTTTTTTTTCTTAATATGCATAGTATTCTTTGAACAATACAATACTCAAAACCATGTTTTTAATTCCTTGTAAAGAAATAAGTATTTTCCACTTAAACTCCGCCCCTTAGGTTCACGGCGAATAAAAAAAATCGTCACAATTGAGATATGGCGGGTGGGCGTGTTTCCATTTTGCCTTTTTATTGTAATATGTGTAGACTAAGAAAAAAAAGCAAAATATATTAACATATTTGAAAGATTTAAAAGGTTTCAAAGATTTCAAACACCAAAAATTGTAAATTGTGAATACACTGAAGATTCTAAGTAAAAAAAATCCAAGAAAATCTAAAAAATCATAAAGATCTTGGAGGCACTAATGATCCTAGAACTTCTAAAAATATTAAACTTTGTAAAATTTGTAGTAATTCAAAAGTGTCCAAAGTTTCTAAAGACTGGAAAGACTCTAAGGACTCTGAGAACTCTAAGAGTTCTAGGGAGTCTAAAAACTCTAAAGATACTCTTAAAGACTCAAACGTTGAAAAGATATTTAAAATTCTGCTCCAAATATTTGAAAGATTGTCGAACTTGTAATTGCAAAATCGATTTTTCCTTATACAAATTTACCATTTTAAATATATCTCAAGTTTCATGTTGTGAAAAGAAGTCTACACATATTAAAACAAAAAAGCAAAATGTAAGCCCGCCCACCCACCCTATCTCGATTGTAAAGAATTTTTTGTTCGCCGTGAGCCAAGAGGGTGGAGCTTAACTGCAAAATTCTTATTTACAAGAAATTAAAAACACGTTTTTGAGTATCGTGTTGTTCAAAGAATACTATGTATACTAAGAAAAAAAGGCAAAGTATAAAGCCCGCCCACCCACCCCATCTCAATTGTGATGATTTTTTTATGCAAAAACATGTCTTACATGCTAATTTCTTCTAGAGAAATATTAAGGATTTTGCAATTAAATTCTGTCCCTTTGGCTCTCAATGATTAAAAAAAGTCATCACAATTGAGATAGGGTGGGTGCGCGGGGTTTATATTTTGCCTTTTTCCTCAATTGTGATGTATTTTTCATTCGTTGTCAAACCGAGGGGCGGAGCCTAATTGCAAAATGGATATTTCCCTACACAAATTTACCATTTTAAACATGTTTTAAGTTTCTTATTCGGAAAAGATGATCACACATATTAAGAGAAAATGTAAAAGAAATTAAAAACATGTTTTTGAGTATCGTGTTGTTCAAAGAATCCTATGTATATCAAGAAAAAAACAAGCCAAAAATTAAGCCAAACCCCCATATCCATCCCAAGCTCAGTTGTGATGAATTTAGAATTTCTCATTCGTTGTCAGACCGAGAGGCGGAGCATAACTGCAAAATCGATATTTCCCCACAAAAATTTACTGTTTTAAATTTCTTCTCGTGAAAACAAGACTACATAGACTAAGCAAAACAGAAGCAAAATATAAGCCCCGCCCACCCACCCTATCTCACTTCTGATCATTTTTTATATTCGTCGTAAGCCGAGGGGCGGAGCTTAATTGTAAAATCCTTATTTTTCTACGAGAAATTACATGTGAAATGTGTGCTTAAGTAATCGTGTTATACAAAGAAAACCAAAGTTATTAATAATTTTGCGGTTAAACTCCGCCCCCTTGGTTCACGGCGAATAAAAAAATCATCAGAATGGAGATGGGGCGGGTGGACGGGGCTTATATTTTTGCTTTTTTTTCTTATTATACATAGCCATCTTTTCACAACAAGAAACTTGAAACATGATTAAAATGGTACATTGTTCAAAGGAAATATGGATTTTGAAATTATGGAGCGAGAGATTGAGTGACAGAAAAGTCACTAAATCTACGGGAAGAAAAGTGTGAAATTTGAAATTTCAAAATCATTCTAATCTTAAGCGCTACGAAACATAAGTTTTACATTACTCGAGAATTTTTGTGGTGAGTTTCGTTTGGGAGCCATAACTTTACGATACGAAAATGAATTCCTGTCTCTTAATAACAAAAAACAATGACTATTATCATTATACCTCTGTATTCTCCTGAAAATTGTTTGAAATATCTACTAGAACATTCATCTTTAAAAGAAGCACTGGAGATGAGAGTTAGAAATGTGGCCTAACCTTAGTAATGGAACTTTCAGTAGTTTTACATTTGTAACAGAGACAGTGTTAGGTTGCTGCCAACTTACATGTCAACTGTCAAGAAATCCCAATCTGTCACCGGAACCACTATATCTTATTGTATAAAAATAAAAATAAATTTACTATTGTATAAAAGTGGTCTAGAACTTGCGAAAAATGAAGTATTTGGAATTTTGCTGAGTCAGCAGTACCGTTCTTGAAATTTTTCATTCTAAAACGTTCTATGTGCATTCAGTTCAGAAACCTCTTTCCTGTCCGCAGCCCGCGATTACCCAACGCCTCTCAAATAGAGTTATTACCTAATAATATCACTGTCAATACCCAAAACGGATCTTATTTATTAAACATCTGTTACGATCGCCTCCTCCAGGCCTACCATCCTGCCAACACTTAATTCGACAAAATCCCCTGGGGCGCACATAAATTCCCCAACAAACAATCCTTCCACGTTTTTCCCCGCCACCGGCATTCAAATTCTCGACTTTGGCACACATCTTCGGCCTAGAAGCCGCAGCGGCTTGATGGATGTAGCCGCTAATTACGGTCCAGATTAGATATTAATTATTTTTACGTCGGTAGCGTCGCTGCCATAAACGGCAGTCCTTCCCACTTACCGTCGGTGTTTTTCATCCGGTAGGTTGTCGGCACTGCTTTACTCTCAGCCGACTCATAATCATGTATAAATGTAATTAATGAATCCGCGTGATTAATCGTTAAGTTGTTAGGTAAAAAACGCACCACCGGCTTTATTAGATTTATTACTTTTTACATTTTTATACGTTATTGCGTTCGCGTCCAATTTAGGTTTGAAAACAATGAATTATAAATTACCGAGGCGGGCTTTTTTCGCGCTGCGCTTAATGGCAGGTGGTTTTTGTTTTTCCGCTTTCAAGTAATTCTGATATTAATGGTGGAAATAATGGAGCCGGCGCGACGGAGAAGAGCGATAGGAGATGGTCATTAGGAAAGTAATTAGCGGTGAACGTGGATTCGCGCCGAATTTAAGCAGACTTAAGTCACATAGCAGCTTCAAACATTATTATTATTATTATTACTTTGTTACAGAGAGCAAAAGGAGGCAAAACCCGTGAAGAGGAAAATTAATTCGGTGAGTTTGACCACGTCGGAGTACGCCAGCGGCCTGCAGCCCTCCAAGAAGAAGAAAAAGAAGACCGTAAAAAAATAAAGATATATATTTTTAAGTGGTGCGTGATTTCCCCGACTTTTCCTGTGGCATTTCGTCGAGCTCAGCAGTCGTTTCCCGACTAAACTAATTAAAGGCGATTGCCATCACAATAGCGGTAATCCATCGTCGATACAATAGAGGCAAAGCCCGAGCTTTTGTGAACCGCCCGAAGTCTTCGGAATTTTTTTAATGATTACATGCAATCATTAGCGGTTTTTTCGGGGCGCGGTTTTGTTCCTCAAAATATTAATTTGTTACTTTTTATGAAAGGTTCAATTAATAACCGACAAAGTGCTGGAGCGATTTCTCTTATAAACCCAGATGGCTGTTTATTTATTTTTTTAGTCGAACTTAAATCGAACCGATCATGCGAAGGTCGCTCGAGAGGTAATTAATAACCGGACTTTTTGCGATGTTTAATCACGGATTTGTGTGTTTTTGATGCGGGTTGAGAAATCGGAGAAATCTGGGTGATTAGTGACGGCGTAGAAATTTCGAGGATCATCGTACTAATCACGGAAAATAAATACGGGCACCTGTTTCGGGGAAATTGATGGTTTAATTGGAAAAAATCTGGCGTATTCGCAGGTAGAGGGTTGGTGGAACAAATGGGTTCGGGTTGTGGAAGCACGCTATTTCTTCATTAGAACTAATTAACGAATGAAATGTAAAATTAAAACGACTATAACAATGTGAAAATCTATACGGCGAACAATTGCTTTTATGATTTGTGGTAAGTATGGAAAATGAACGCGTATGCATTTGAATGCCTGTTATTTTTCTCTATTAATCACGCGCTTCGAGAAATCGATGGAACTTTGTGGTCATTATCTTGGGAGTTTTATTTGAGTACAAAGTGATTTATAATTTTTTTTTGAGGGTTGGCTGTCAATTTTCGATAACCAAGATGACTTTTCGAAAAGTTAATCATTAAAAAATTATAAAATTCCGTTGAATAAAGTCTAGGACCACTTTTATGTTTTCTTCTGTACTTGTTGTTTATGAATCCGTCTTTAAATTTTTCGCAAAAAAATCGAAATTGTACAGCAACCATTTATACTATAAGTATATGCAGAGTTCGTACAAGGTTATTACTTGCCATTTGTTAATCCGTTTCTATTTTCTCTAAAAAAATGTATACGGTGTCGTTAAAAAAAGTGGGATGTCGTAGACAAACAAAAAAAAATATAGAACGTCAAAACACACTTCTAGGATGTCATTTAGCTTCTTACACTGTTATTGGTATTACTTATCTATATTTGTTTTAACGTATAAAGGTTATCACAAATAAAAATATTCTCGAAATATAAAAGTTATGAATGAATTCACTGATTCTTGTCTTTTTTTCAATAATAATCCACTTAATTTCAGAATTTTCAAAATCATAGGTACTTTTTTCTTTGACCGTAACATTTTTTTTTTAAATAAGTAATCCCGAATTTAAAACTGAATTGCAGACGATTAAGATAATAATTGCCCACTAAAGTATATTTACAGTGGCAAATATTATAATTAAAATTTAATAAATAACATACCCTTGCACTTGTGGATAAGGAATCCGGGTTGAGTTTTACTCTTCATATACAGATGTTTGGCAAAAAAATTGTGAAGAATTATTTTCAGGTGTAGATGTAGAACATCCATAGAATCCAAAAATTGTAAAGATTAAGGGATTCCAGAGATTTTTGTGTTCGAAATTATTAAAGATTGTAGACATTTTTGTAAATTCTCGAGTTTCTAAAAATTCTAGAGACTCTAGAAGTAATTTGCCATAAAGATCCTATAGATTATCAATATTTTGCGATTCTAGCCAGCGATTTCACAGAAACTGTAATTTCAGAGATATCTTTGTTTTCAGCAAAGTCACAGATCCAATATCTAGAATTTAGGAAATGAGTGAGATTCTAGAGATCAATATCAACTTTTGATTCCAAGGATTATAGAGATTCCAAGAATTTCAAGTTGTCAAAGCTTTCACGTCATAAGAAATTCTAGAAACTTCAAAACTCAGAGATTCTTATGTTCAGAAATGTTAGAGGTCCTAGGTATATCAAGAAATAATCGAGTTTCTAGAAATCCTAGAGGCTCTAGAATACTATATCATGGAAATTCTAGAGATTATTATCAATGTTTTGCGATTTGAGACAGAGATTTCAATGTTTTCAGGACAGTCAAATCTATTTTAAAGGATCTAATATTCTCTGGGGATCAGAATGTCCAAATCTTTCAAGGCTGCTAGAATTTACGAGATAACAGAAATTCCAGAGATCAATATCAACTTTGAGGTTCTGAGAATTATAGAGATTTCAAGAAGTTCCAATTCGTCAAAGCTTTCACAGAATGAGATTCTAGAAACTCGAAAACTTAGGATTCCAGAGATTCTTATGTTCAGAAATGTTTTAGTTTCTAGAAATCCTAGAGGCTCTAGCATATTATGTTATATAGATTCTAGAGATAATCCGTCTTTTGCAATTCGAGCCAGAGATTTCACAGAAACTGTAAATTTCATAGATTTCCATGTTTTCAGCAAAGTTAAATATATTTTAAAGCCTCTAAATATTCGCTGCGAGATTTTATGGGTTATATAAATTCTAAGATTTTCAACAATTGCAAAGATTTCGCAGATTAAGAGATTTTAGAAACTCCAAAAATAGGAAATACATTTTAGAGATTCAAAAGGTACGAATTTCTTCAGATCCTTCGAAATCTGGATTCTAGATCTTCCAGAGAATCCAAAAATTCCAGATCCAGGGATCCTAGAAATTATCAATATTTTGCAATTCTAGCCAGCGATTTCACAGATATCTATGTTTTCGACAAAGTCACAGATCCAACATCTTTTAAAGACTCTAAATGTACTCTGGAAATCAGAAAGTCCAAAACTTTCAAGGCTGCTAGAATTTAGAAAATGACTGAGATTGTAGAGATCAATGTCAACTTTTGATTCCAAGGATTATAGAGATTCCAAGAATTTCAAGTTGTCAAAGCTTTCACGTAATAAGAGATTCTAGAAACTCAGAGATTCTTATGTTCAGAAATGTTAGAGGTCCTAGATATATCAACAAAGAATCGAGGTTCTAGAATATTATGTCATGGAAATTCTAGAGATTATTATCAATGTTTTGCGATTTGAGACAGAGATTTCAATGTTTTCAGGACAGTCAAATCTATTTTAAAGGATCTAATATTCTCTGGGGATCAGAATGTGCAAAGCTTTCAAGGCTGCTAGAATTTACGAGATAACAGAAATTCCAGAGATCAATATCAACTTTGAGGTTCTAAGAATTATAGAGATTTCAAGAATTTCCAATTCGTCAAAGCTTTCACAGATTGAGATTTTAGAAACTCGAAAACTCAGGATTCCAGAGATTCTTATCTTCAGAAATGTTAGTTTCTAGAAATCCTAGAGGCTCTAGAATATTATGTTATATAGATTCTAGAGATAATCCGTCTTTTGCAATTCGAGCCAGAGATTTCACAGAAACTGTAAATTTCATAGATTTCCATGTTTTCAGCAAAGTTAAATATATTTTAAAGCCTCTAAATATTCGCTGCGAGATTCTATGGGTTATATAAATTCTAAGATTTTCAACAATTGCAAAGATTTCGCAGATTAAGAGATTTTAGAAACTCCAAAAATAGGAAATACATTTTAGAGATTCAAAAGGTACGAATTTCTTCAGATCCTTAGAAATCTGGATTCTAGATCTTCCAGAGAATCCAAAAATTCCAGATCCAGGGATCCTAGAAATTATCAATATTTTGCAATTCTAGCCAGCGATTTCACAGATATCTATGTTTTCAACAAAGTCACAGATCCAACATCTTTTAAAGACTCTAAATGTACTCTGGAAATCAGAAAGTCCAAAACTTTCAAGGCTGCTAGAATTTAGAAAATGACTGAGATTGTAGAGATCAATGTCAACTTTTGATTCCAAGGATTATAGATATTCCAAGAATTTCAAGTTGTCAAAGCTTTCACGTAATAAGAGATTCTAGAAACTCAGAGATTCTTATGTTCAGAAATGTTAGAGGTCCTAGATATATCAACAAAGAATCGAGGTTCTAGAATATTATGTCATGGAAATTCTAGAGATTATTATCAATGTTTTGCGATTTGAGACAGAGATTTCAATGTTTTCAGGACAGTCAAATCTATTTTAAAGGATCTAATATTCTCTGGGGATCAGAATGTGCAAAGCTTTCAATTTTTTCTAGAATTTACGAGATAACAGAAATTCCAGAGATCAATATCAACTTTGAGGTTCTAAGAATTATAGAGATTTCAAGAATTTCCAATTCGTCAAAGCTTTCACAGGATGAGATTCTAGAAACTGGAAAACTTCGGATTCCAGAGATTCTTATGTTCAGAAATGTTATTTTCTAGAAATCCTAGAGGCTCTAGAATATTATGTTATATAGATTCTAGAGATAATCCGTGTTTTGCAATTCGAGCCAGAGATTTCACAGAAACTGTAAATTTCATAGATTTCCATGTTTTCAGTAAAGTTACATATATTTTAAAGCCTTTAAATATTCGCTACGAGATTCTATGGGTTATAGAAATTCTAAGATTTTCAACAATTGCAAAGATTTCGCAGAATTAAGAGATTTTAGAAACTCCAAAAATAGGAAAGATATTTTAGAGATTCAAAAGGTACGATTTTCTTCAGTTCCTTAGAAATCTAGATTCTAGATCTTCCAGAGAATCCAAAAATTCCAGATCCAGGGATCCTAGAAATTTTCAATATTTTGCAATTCTAGCCAGCGATTTCACAGATATCTATGTTTTCAACAAAGTCACAGATCCAATATCTTTTAAAGACTCTAAATGTACTCTGAAAATCAGAAAGTCCAAAACATTCCAGGCTGCTAGAATTTAGGAAATGACTGAGATTCTAGAGATCAATATCAACTTTTGATTCCAAGGATTATAGAGATTCCAAGAATTTCGAGTTGTCAAAGCTTTCACGTCATAAGAGATTCTAGAAACTCACAGATTCTTATGTTCAGAAA